CACGTCGTGCATCTCCAGCCACCCGCCGACACCGACCATCCCACCGTCGCAGCGTACCAGCGACGACGCAACAGACCCCTCGACGCCCACGAAGCGCAGCACCGAGTCAAGCACCGCAAGGCGCTCGCCAAGCACAATGCCGCCGCCGCTGCTCACGACCGAGACGTTCGTCACGGAGAACACCGAGTGGTTACGCAGACTGAGACGCGACGAGGACGCCACATGCATCGCGGACGCCGTCTGACCACCCGACGCCTCCAGCGACACGCCGTCAAGCACTACCGCGCTCGACAGCAGTTCCACGCCGCCGCCAACGTACACCGCCGACCCGCCCGCCTGCAACGACCTCAGCACAGTGCTGCTCACACGCAGCTGCGACTGCAACAGCGACGTCGCGTGCAGCACAAGCGGCGACGCCACCGCGTTCGTCAGCCCGCTCAGCTGCGAGTAGCGCATCGGCCCCGGCGTCACAATCGTCGAGTCACGGACCGTTACGTTCGTGTGTGCCGGCAGGTTGTGCACAAACACAAGCGAGCAGTAGCCGCCGGACAGCCCGCTCACGCTCACCTCCAGGCTCCGGTCACTCGCCGGCTCGCCGCTGTAGCCCCGCACGTAGATCTGCGCACCGCCGTCGCACACGCAGTTCCTCAGTTCGATGCGCAGCGCGCCGGGAAGCATCGCCGCAACGTCGAACACCACAGCCACGCCGTTCGTTATGTACACGCCGTCCATCAGCACCGTGTCCACGGCTCGGCCAACCGTGATGGCTCTCTCCACCGTACCGCCCCGCAGTCGCAACACCACCGCATGCACAGCAGGCATCCACGCCGCCGCCGCAACCAGCGCCAACAGAACAAGAAGCGCCACACGCACAGCCGCAATGGCCCTGCGCCGCACACGGTGCCGGCTGCGCGGACACGCACCCACCGCAGACCACATTCACCGACCCAAACAGGTACCAAAAGGGCTGTCGTGGCGTGTCGCACTCGCCCCGTCGACCGTAACTCCTACTTCGCAAATCTCTTCCTACAGATGGCAAATCCAGATAAACAATTCCGATAGATCGTTATCCCACTACTACTAATAATCCTACTGCTGCAATTAATTCCTAACACCTTGAAACGATAGTTGTGCTGATCAATCCAAAGTATCTCTAACTGCACGGTCAGAAAAGGAAAAGGCAGCAACAACAGTAACCAAACACAGTGGCACGCAGAGGAATCCGGTCACAGACAACCCACGCCACAGCACAACCACCGACACAAAGACGCGCAGAAGCAACCACGCCAGTGACACCATCGCCTTCCCCTCATCGGCCGGAACCGCACCAAATCGCACAGCGGATTTGTTGTGAAGTGAAGGCAATTGAGCAGTATACACGGAACAGCATCAAAACCTCATCCTATAATTGCTCACATTTATGTTTCTCGTACCTGCTGCCAACAACACCAAAAAGGCCACAAAAGGGAATTGTTCCACTCATCCTCCTCCTGATCAAAGCAAACCCTTCGTACCCTCTCCCACTCCACGGCCTGAAACCCGCAAGAGGCTGTCGAGAGAAACCACGTGTGTGGAGAGTCCAAATTTGCAAAGCGGGATCGGCAGCCACTCACCCTCACTCCCTCACACCTACCCGCTCCCCCCACAGGCGCCGCAGCACATCATCACGACAAGGAGGAGCAGCACCGCGGAAGTAAACACACGCCGGGAAATGTTAATCCTCTGCTGCACACTATCCCTTCCTTCTTTACCACCTCCTTCCGCTGGATCCGGTCACGCGGCGACGTTTGTGTGTGCGGGGTGCATTGACAGCAGCAACACGTAAGAGCATACAAATATATATGTGTGGACGGTGTGTGTGCTGTTGGTCATTTAGGAGTGCACAGTAGCGATTCGCGTTTGTTTTCCTCCCTAGCGTGCCTGCGTGCGTGAGGTGGAGAAGACAGCAACAGCAGCCATACATCAGACACGCGACCGGGGTGCGGAGCACATCACCCACACAAAGTGCAGGACACGAGACAATCCGGAAGGAACGACACGGAGGACCGTGGCCCAGCGAAAAGAGCAGCAACACGGCGAGTCACGGCGGAGCCCAACGCACACACAGTGACAACGCCGCCAGACCGCGCATGGGAGGGTTCGGCCATCCACAACAGGAAGGCACACAACGCAAACAGGCAACCGCCATGGACAAGGACGAGTGACCCACGACCGCCGCGTCCCCGCAGCCGCCACACAACGCACACGGAGCGCGCTCCCGCCCCACCAGCCACACGCAGAGGTGGATCCTCATCCACCATGATGCGATGCCAAAATGCCACTGCCGCCACACTGAGTGCACTATTTCCTCGGTACAACTTATCCTTCGTCCATCCACTACAGATGCTTCCGTCAATGATGGGCCCTAGAACACAATAAATGGAATTGGAAAATGCAGTCATGCTGCAATACCGCCGGACACAATGATTCTTCCATAACGGAGCAATTCTCCCAGTACGCCTCGCATCCACAGAAAAGCATCCAAATGTATAAAACAGCCCCAATGTTTTTTGCCAGAAATCAAACACTCCCTTCACTCCCTAATTTGTTTTCCCATTTCTGTGGTTATTCCTCACTTCGGAGAGCTGCGTCTCCTCTGGCGTCTTCCGATGATATTGACACTTGGTACTGGCGCACCTTTTCGTACCAGAAAGCCGCAATTTGCTGGTCTTCCTCCTCGCTCACACTATTGGTATTGACGACATCACATCCCTGCCAGTCATTCATCGGCGTGCTGTCTGCGTGCTGCACATAAATCATCTCCCACGACATGTCTCGGGACAATTCCTCCCAACCATTAAAATATTCCGCCAAATGCTCCGTAAACTGCCCCACGGTGCTGGCTGTCGTGTGATGCACACCCGCCGTAGTCATCCGCAGCCCGACCAGCGTCCTCGGATTGGACTTCATGAAGAAAAAGCGTCCTCCAGCGGAAAGCCTTCGACCTCCGTTATGTAAAGCACCCCGCGCTCTACATCAATCCTCTCAGAAACGTGTTCCAGTGGCGGTAAAAAATAGTGCCTGGTGGGGCGCTCCTGCGAATACACCTCCAGCGCACAGCGGTGTGGTAGACGTCGTGTTGGTGGCCTCAGCTCCTTCAATTTGCGCCTTATTGCAGCCAAGAAAACCCCATTCAAAAACGCAAACACGGAGCACTTCCCAAAGTTTTCGGATATGAGATAATCCTTGAGCCTCCATACGATCAAAATCAAATCATTCGGCCGCATTAACTTCGCCAAACTGCATAATATTTTGCTTCCGAGGTGGGCAGATATCGGTGCATTAAAAGGCGACTCACCATTGCGCTCTCCCCGTACTCGGACAATCTTCGCAACACATTCGAGCGCCGTATTATCATCCCATGTTTTGGATATTCCAAAACCAAAGTAACACCTGCTTCTCGAGGAGTTCGTCCCGGCCCCAACGCTGTGACACTTCTCAATCCGTGCAGTACAATGACGCTTACCAAAGATGTCGCGAAGAAGCGGTCCCGCTGCATCCATTTGGCCCCTCACCTCGCCCCAGCATTCCGCTTGCTGCTGCACGGGCTGATCACGCTTCATCCAAGCGCACATTGCCTCCGCGTCGCTTTCGTCAGGACAATCCATCACAATTCGTGCGGCTCTCCTTCCGCTCGCCCAGTGTCCATATATTTTTTTCTCTGGTGGTGTCACCACAAGCATGCCCCATTCAAGAGGAGGCAAACAAGTAGACAGAAGATTATCCGGCTCCGCCGCGTCGTAGACAATGCACCCCCTCACCCCACGCCGAGACAGATCCTTCACAACTTTTGCAATGCTGGACTCACCCATGTATTCTGACGCCGTTCTGGCGGTCTCGTCAAAAAGGAATGCCTCATTCCCAATAACTTACGCAACCATTGGGAGTTTCTCCACCTCGTAGTGCAGCAGCTGGTAGAGGAGGTAAGAGCCGGCAGCCATCGACTTACCGATCCCAGGCGTCCCAATCAAGAGACGCGAATCAGGCGTAAATTCGGTCCCACCGCGACTGCTGAGACATTCGGTGAGATCGCCCTTGACGATCTGCCACACTCGCTCCACCTCACAGTTCGCATAGCAGTCACGAACTATTCTCCCTCCACGAGTACGGCCATCCCCTGTCCGAGGCGAGCACCATCAGCCTGGGACGCGGTGCACCGGATTGCTGCACACCGTCGTCCTTTTCGAGAGTCACGCCAACTGCCCTGTACGTCTGTGACTGCGGTGGCTTCCCCTCCCTCACCTCCATTCCCGCCCCTCGCCGTCAGGAACTTCCACGGCACGGCCCCACCTCGCATTGTACACAGACTCGTATGATCCCTCTAGCGTCTTTTCTTCTGCCTCCCGCCTTGCCTTTTATTCATTCAGTACCTGAGAGAGGGCTGCGCTTAGCCTTCCCCCTGCAACAGAAGTGACCGTTCCCCTCCCTCCAAAGTCCCTCCATTGCTCCAGCGAGTCCACACCCTCGTGATGAAGGTTCATTACATCTGTTAAGGGCAGGTATGTATCCCATGCAAACCGATAATCCGCAACGTCGAAAATTCCCCTCATCAGCTGTCTATAACCCGAGTTGCCGTTGGGATCCCGAGCGAGCATTCGCACCCACACATCCTCTTCCCCTCCGACGGCTTGCGGAAAACCGAGGCTCTTCAACTTGAAGTAATCCAGCTTCGCTTTGATGATAAGTGCCCTCCCCACCAGCAGTACATCTTCCACCCGAAAGCCAAGAGTCCGCTGTGGTTGCTGCATTTCCGCCTCGCTTCGGTGAGCCAAATAGGATTTATCTGCATCACCCTCAGACTCCGGCCTCGCCCCCCTCAAAGAATCTCCCTACGGCATAGCAGTCGCTTGGCACTCCTCTTCAGCACCTTGCACTCTCCTGCGCCTTACAGGCATTGTTTCCCTTGTCCTCGTAGCTGGATTCAGTTAAGGTTCAACAATAGCCACCAAGCAGAATAATAATGAGGGAGGGGGGAGAGACAATCGGCACAGACACGACTGGCAGCCAAAACAAAAGAGTCCTCCACACGCTGTGACGGCTCGGTGTGCGATGCACAACACACGCACGAGGACCACCACAAAGACGGCAAGTGGGTGCCATCCACCCAGCACAGCGTTGGAGAGAGCAAAAGATAACAACATTAGGAGCAACAAGAGTGCCGAGCGCGCACTGCCCACACAGTCATCGTGGAAGAGGAAGAATTCATGCAAGCACTCGCTCAAAATAGAGTGATGTCACAAAACACAAGAAAAAACAACGGTGCCGGTGCAAGAAGCAATCAATTCTGTGGCGCGCAGCAGCCGTAGCCTCGCGCCCTCCCCTTAACAAGCACCGTGTACCTACCGGTTACACACAGCAATATACGCGCAATCATCGGAGGTCGCAGTCTACAGGGCGGCAGTGGCACAGAATACGCTCCAGCACACAACACCATTTTCTTCTTTTTTCGCGTACCTGGGAAAAAATTGCATCCCTCCACTGGCAGAGACCCCTGTGATCAAAGTCCACACCGTGGTGGGTATTCAAAAGAAACATCGTATGAGATATGCTGCCGTTATTAATTTATTGCCCTCTTCTTCCGCGTAGATACTCAAAAAAGAGTGGCAGCGTTGAATGACTATTTAAAGCTCCGTACTCGAATTGCCCCATAATGCTGCCGCATTGACTATTGACGTTAGGGGGTTGCGGAAAAAAGCAACACGCGAGCCGCCGTGCCGCAGTAATGGGCCATTCCGCTGTTGCCGCAGTGGAAACACGTCCATTTCGCACCATTCCTCAGCTAGAGTATCGCCCTGCAACCCAAACGCCAACATCTCCCACTCCTAGTCCAAATAACGTCGCGACAGATGAAGTACGGTAATGGCGTTGGAATTGCGGCAAGTTGTGTAATGGCGTCTGGA